CATGTCTGATATTGCATGTTTGCTGTCCTCAATTTCTTCTGCATTTACCTCTCCTGAACCAATATTCCTTGGGATGGGGGATGGAGGCTTTTTCTTATTTCTTTCTCCTGTCATGTTTCCGCTTTCTTCCATACAGGTGTACGGTGGAGGTCCCAGCCCCTTTCCTTGTTGGTTATGGTTCTTCTGCAGCGCACTGGCTAGGGATTTCTGCCCTCTCCAGCTTGCTGTTGGCCATTGAGGTTCGAGCAGGGGCAGTGTGGGCTGGCCCCTCCACTCCAAGCCAGTCAACCAACAGGGGCCTTCACCACGTTATGGTGTGCTGCATTGGTTGGAACTGTTTGGGACAACTTCAGGGACAATTTCGTCCCTGGCTCTGGGGTCCTGGCCAGGGGCATAACCCAGCCCAAGCAGATCCCACCAATCTGCTCTGGGCAGAGAGCACCCAACTGAAGTCACTGCCATTCCTTGTTCAGACCTGCCCTGCGCAATACCAGTATATCATCCAGTCAGTCACCCCTTTCCCATGGGAGTCAGATTCCAAGCCCTTTGTGGGTTAGTGCAGGTCTCCACGCCAGCTCTGTTCTCTGCTGGGCCCACCGACACCCTGACTTCAGCATTACTGTGGCTCCTGCAGCGAGAGCACCATGACCACGAGTCTGAGCGGCTCCTTCCCCTTTAGTTTCTTCCTGGATCAAGGGATCCATCTCCCTCCGTCTGGTCTTCTCCAGCAGGTTTTATTCTGGCGTTGGAACTGTTTCTCTCAGTGGAGGCTTCCTATCTTGCTGCTTACTGATCCGCCACCTTTAGCTCCGCCTAGCAGGTTAATTTTAATCTACCACTTCCAATGCAACTCACAGTGAGAACAAAGACACTAAGTCATATTTATAATTAGGGGCGGTCAAGGGGTCCTGAGTCCAACCTGAACAAACACTTACTGGAACAAAAGCTCCCAACCCAGGGCCTAATCCAGATTTCATTAATTCATGAAGCGGGGAGTGGCTAGGGGTGAGTGACTGTGAGGAAGGCAGGAACTGCATGAGTGCTGTGAGCCGGGCTGGTAGGAGGCCTGCAAGCACCTCTGCATATGCAGAGAGAAGGATGTGCAGAAAGACCGACCTGCATAACACACCTGAAGTAGCGCTTACACGGGGTGGTGCTTCAGTTTCAATGTGTAAACCTTTTTAACCCTGGGAAGTCATGGCTTCCTAAATCAGGGCCTGAACCCAGCTGACAGCCCTGGAGTGTTGGCTTTGCGTCCACTGGGCTCAACCATTTAGGAAGACACTGAGGCAAAAAAAACAGTGACTGTCATTTGGCTTTAAAGATTATGCATCAGTATTTTAGCTAGTCCTATTTACATAGTTTAGAGCCAACTAAAGGGGAAAAATAGCTTAGCCAGTTCTGTACATACCGGTACATGGAGACAGGGCCAACAGAGGTAATTACTCCGTACTCAAGGAGAGCCATCCAGGTGGTCCCCTACAACAAGGGGAAACAGCTGAAGGCTATTTCCATGCTTCTAGAACAGGAGGCACACCAGGGGGAAAGACATGCAGACCTGACTCACTACAGACTTTCTTCAGAACCTCTGAACCTCTGGTCTAAAGCACAGAGGGCTTCCCTGTGCAGCGGTGGGCTCCTAATCCAAGTAAGTACTAAAGTAAGAAGAAAAATCCTTTAACTTACATATATGAAGCATAACACAAAGCATGATGTGGGCCCTAACCTAGGGAGAGGCACCGAGGATAAAGCAGACCCGGAAAAACCTTCTAAAGGAGGAGGCACTGACCTTGAGCCTAAGGATTCAGGATTCCAGCAGAGAAAGAAGACAGTACTTGGGTTAAGGGAAACCGGTGAAAGAGGGCAGCGACCTGCCCCAAAGAAGGGAAGAGTTCACAAATGCCTCTTTTCCTCTGCCCTGCATCCTGCTACAGAATCGGGACTTACCTTCTAGGCAAGGAACCAAGTTCTCAGTCATGCAGTGGTGGAAGCCAGTTAAGTCGAAGTTCCTTAGGCACGGATGTCTGGAGGAGTGTGACCAGTCAGGCCTAAGCCAGGGGGCTAGTCCCCATCCACAGCCAAAAGTGATTTAAGTTGGCAGTGGCCACTTGAGTCGACGAGAGTTAAGGTCAGGATTTTATTGGGACTGTTAGAAAACAGGCTTCCTCTTTCCTGCTGAAATTGCTACCAACAACTGAGGAAGCCAGCACCGCCATGGGCCTCCACATGGCATCAGGACATGAAGCCACACAGCCAGAAGCAGACTCAGGAGACAGTGCACTGCCTCCAAAGGAATCTAACCTAGCCCTGTCTAACTCTCACTCTGCTGTGGAGTCTGTAGTTTCTGAGTCGATAAAATCCCATTTCTGCGTAAGCCAGGTTGAATCAGATTACATACTCTCAATGGAAAGATTCCTGGCTAATCTTATTGCCCACAGTCCTCAATCTGAAGACTAGTTCAGTAGAGAAACAGCTACACATTGGTTTATTCTTCTGCAAACATAAAATAAGAATAGAAAATTTCTGCATAGGAACTTATAATTACAACTGAGGACACCAAAAGTCATTCTTTCCTAAGCTAAGATAGCATTTGCAAACCAGAACAATAAACAGAATAAAAAGGCTTCACCAAGGACCATCTGAGCTGTGATCAGCTTGTCCCAAGCTAGATTTATGCTTTAGCACTGAAGCTGCCACCCTCTAAGCTGCTGATGCGAGCAAGTAAAAATCCACAGCACTGAGAGTGCCTGCCTACTCAGACACTGCCGTAAACAACACTTGGTACCTGGCCCCCAGAGTGTGGGTGAAAATGGAAGCATAATTCCTTGTCCTCTGCTCCCTGACTGCAGCGTATGCAAAAAATGGGAGGGAAAAAAACAGTAGGAACACAAACGTGGCACAGACACACCGTGCAGGAAAAACAACCAGCCAGCTTGGGGGTGGGCTTTTCTCATTTTAGGACAAAGCCTTGAACTTCTACATTTTTAAATATTCAAATGAGCTTTCGTTCGACACTTACATTTGCCATAGGTTACAGGCGGGGATTCTTATTCCAGTAACACATTTTCTGTCTCCACGCTAGAGTGTGAGTCCCTGGAGGAATAGGATCTTGTCTTCCTAGGCCTAAAATAGTAACTTTCATAAACTATGCTTAGAGGCAATTTCAAAACATGAAATACTCAGCTAGCAAAGACTTTACCATGAAATGAAGACTTCTGCCTTCCTTACTTAAAAATAGTAGTTACTACTTTGTGAATGTTCTTATGCAACGAGTAATACACTAAAACCACAGCGAAAATTATACTCATCGGCTTGAGCTGGACTTAACTCACCCAGGAAGCACAGCTAAGCTAAGGGGGAAGCTCACACTCCCCTGCTTTTCCCAGCGCTGGACTTGAATGGAACTGGAACAACACAGGAAGGGAGACAGTGACATCACTTAGCTTAACCCAGAGAAGACCCTGAGGGAGGGGCGCAGCCATCCTCCAGGGGAAAGGCTGCACAGGGGAGCTGGTTACTGGCGGAGACCAAGCGGAATTTCATGTTAAGTCAGCCAGAACCCAGGGCATACTCTGAGCTCTGCCCTACAGCCAGAGAGTCTAGAGATGTGTCTACATGACGTGCAAGCAATGTCAAGGCCTATAATGTCCCCCTTCTTATTTCCTTATCTTTAGGCTTGGGCTACCTCCCAAAATAGGCAATATTCCCTTACTATCTCTTTGTATCAAAATGCAGTCTTTCCCCTTAAAAACAGGAGTTCTATAACACTGACCCTCATCAGGTCTACAGACACAGGGCAGGAAGGCAGCGGCCTGAATGTACTTTTCGTGCCTAAATATCTTACAAATTCCAGGGCTGGAAAACACAAGGGAAGCGGAGGCAGCATGCAGGAAGTCTTTGCCCTGTGCCTGTCCATCCCACCATACTGACTTTATAGGTTACCATGTAACTGCAACAGGAAGAGTGGAATAAAACTGCAAAAAGTTATGCCAGGGTTTCTCGGCAACCATTTAAGTTTTGATCAAAATATACACCTCCAAGACAGTTGTTAGTAGCCTTAGCTTATTCTGCTTCGGGCTCACTGGCTGCTTAACAATGGTAAAATATCTCCCAGCCAGCTGTCGGCCAGAGAACAGCAGGTGTAAAGACCTCCTGAGAGAAAGCGGAGGAAGGCTAAGGAACAAAGAGATCTTCAAAGCGCTGCAGTGGGTACAGGAAGGTGTGAGCGGGCTGGCAGGCAGCACCCATGCGAGGGACAGAAGAGCCCCAGGACCAACACCAGGCGAGCCTCTGTAACAGGTGTCCATCTCCCTACGGAGGCAGGAAGTCCCCGCAAGGCTTTCAGCGGGGAGAAGCAGTCAGACCGGTATTTCAGAGATCTTGTTTCAGTGACTTTTCAGGTCATGGATTAAGAGGGACCAAAGGACAGAGACCATGAGTAGCTCACACAGTGCCCATGCGAGGCTGGTGACAGCTTAGACTTGGCAACAGACTTGGCACAAGAAGAGACGCACGGAGGGTGACTAGAGATCTCTGTCTCAGTCGACCAGCTGGTGGTGGCTGGGGGAGACGCAGCAGGGCTGAGGAGAGTGTGTGGTGGACTGTACCATGTGCCACCCACACAGGCAGGGCTGGAGGGCAGCGACAGGTCTGACCTGCAGACATCAGTTCTCACTGACGTCACTAACAGCACACACCTATAAGCAGCAGATTGTAAGTGTACAAGAGAAGTGATCAAGTCCTCAGGGGACATGTGTAACTCAACCACAAAGTTAGCACAAGAGCTGGTGAGAAGCCAATACCCTGATAGCTCACTATTACGGCCACAGTTCCCAGCTCACGGAGAACACTGCAGCCTCAGCCAGGTCATGCGGTGTCTTGGAATACAAGCAAAACACAAATTCTCCCACTGACCCCAAAACAGGGAGGCCAGAGGTCTAAAAAACACAGCACAATCTGACAACATCCTCGAACATCAATTCTAACCCGAAAACACTTGCCTGTCGACAAAGCCTCCTCACGGACATCATCCTCGGCCGGCTGATGAATATTCCAGGACGTTTTTGGAAGTGAAGAGATTTCGTCGGGTGATGCTAACTTTACCATATCCATGTGATTACTCCGGAACTGGTACCGAGGGATGAAGCACGTTTTGCCTTGTTGGAAAATGTCCTTGATGATCTCTTCTGTCTCAATTTCATCTTGCATGCTCAGAAAGATGGAAATTCTTTTGGACTTCTGATACTGACTGTGGGCAAGGACCTAAATGGGAAATGATGACAATTACAATCCCCAAGGTTATACTTTTAAAAACTAGTGATCTCCTTAACAGTCTCTCTTCTCTCAACTTTTCCAACTTCCTTTAACATTACAGGAAAAAAAAGATCAGGGTGGCAGAGTGGATTCAAGGTCACTAAGCGCTGAACCCTGACTTCTATTCAGAACCCACGACGTATTTCCTGATCCCTCTGCCCCTGTCGCACATCCTCACTCAGAGAGAAAATTCACTGAAAAGTCCTTCTAAGAGGGATCAGCTCTGTCACCAACTACATGCTCACCTCCCCAATTCAGGAGCCTCCACTCCTTTCACGGGCTTCCCCTCCATGGCCCAATCTTGGCTCCTACAGACTCCCCTGTTCCTTAGGTTGTCAGGCCTCTCTCCTCCTAAAGTCTACCTGTTAAAACCAAATGCAAAGGGTGCGAGCAGGAGGAGATCCAGTTGGCAGCAGCTGAGAATCAGCCATGGTGGAACCCAGGTGGCTGCAGAAGGCAATCCGCCCGCCCTCCCGGTACGAGCCTCCCTGGGGGGCGAGCCAGGAGGAGGCTCAGTCATTAGCTCCTGTGAGCCTACCTGCACACAGGCTGGAAATCAAACATGTCAACTGGGGACAGAAGTCTAAGCACGACTTGAGAGGACAACGGTGCGCAATATAGCAAATATGGGGGATCTCCTCCATCTTCTGTTTAAAGGCAAATTTGTTTCACTGTTTGTTTCATTATGATTAATCATATTACACTCGTCAATATTCTCTTTCAAACGGTTTTATAATGCTCTGTTTTTGATTTGATTTTGCTATAGTTAACTGACTGGACAACTACTGTGAAGATAACGAGATACACTATGGCACCTATTACTGTTCTCCTGGTATCCTGCTCTGAAGCTCTGTCCTGATTTCACTGCATTGTCTCGACTGGCTTTGTTCTCTCTTGTTCTCTTGTATTCTTACTATCTTCAAAATAAAAAAAAAAATTTTAAAAAGAAACTAAAGAACAATGCAAGCCCTAACTTTCCCTAAGTTCAGCAGCACTCTTACACATTTAGTCATTAGACCACTTAATTGCGGACTGGCATGAGTTGGTCACTAGCTGTTAATGTGCCCTAAGTGTAATGTGCTGAACCCATCCGAAAGATCCCTGAGGCAGAAAACACACCTCATAGTCCTCTCTTAGCTCTACCACCCACCTCCTTCCTTTTCAAAGGAATGTGGAAATGTTCATTAAGACGGGAGGAGGACCCTGGAGAAAGAACCACCCCTCAGGCAGAAGGGCACTGTGCTTGGCTCACCAAGCTTAGTCAATGATCTCAGAACAGACCGAGCTGTCCCTTTGTCCTCCCTTCTGTCTCTGCCCTCCCTGTCCTCTAAGAAAAAGACACTACAAAGCAGCTCATAACACGACTGGCAGAAAGGTACAGGCACGGGAAGTTACCCCAGTACAAAGGAAAAGAGAAATCAAGCAGACAGAGCACATAGACAGTGCTAGGAAGGAAGTTAACTCCTCTTTTCGATAAGCAGCCCAGCTGCCAGGAGGCCTGGCAGAGGGAGGGCACGTGGAAATGTGGAGCTCACACCCTGGGCAGGCCCGAGGCTCTTGGCACCAGGTGCTAGAGGAGAAACTTAAATGTCTTTCTTGTTCTCTTTAAAGCAAAATACAGAAAATCAAGAGCTGAGTAAGGACTAAGAAACATTAGTTAAAATTCAGCGTGAGACTGAGTACACATTTATCTTCCTTCCCCAAATCTCATTTCCATGGCATTTGTAAAGAAGGTCCAAAAAAGAAAATCCTTTATAGCACTGAGAACAAGAGTTGGCTAATTCTTACAAGACAGAGAGTGGATGAGACCTATTAATAGAAAAGCAGCAGATCACAACTCTGAGAGAATGCAGAGGCAGGCAGGTCAGGCAGAACCTACTCCTCCCTCGGGTCCCTCCCAAGTAGCTGCCAAAGGCAGAGGGATCTCCACTAGCTGACACAGACACACAGCTAGCACAGCAAAAGGCCACCTGTGTTGGGGATTCCAACACAAAATGGGAGGGGGGAAGGAGCAGAGGGAAGGTGGGAAGGGGGGGGATGACCCCATAGGATAGTGAGATGACTCGAGAATTTTTTTTAATTTAAGTTTTCTCAAACTCGGAGAAGATAATTGCATCTATAATATAGCAGCGGACAGCTATACGAAAGATGTAATCAGAAATTGAAGAAATAATCATTGGAATTAGCAAGCCTCCGGGTGTGCTTCTGTTGTGGCCTGTCTGGCACGCAGCAGGCCCCAGTTAAACCCCCAGCACTCCCAAAAACAAAAAGTTCAGATTAGCAAAATGGAAAACAATTTAGGAGAAAATCTTGGGTAGGAGAAAAAGAGAAAAACAGGAAAAGGAGTTAAGAGACATAAAAGATCAGATGAGAATTTTTATTTGATTAAAAGAAAGGCATAAAGGAAAAGAAATAACCAGAGATTTAATCAATAAATAAAGCCACCAATTTCTAGAACGGAGGGCACAAGTATTGTGCAGAATAATGAAAACGCTTACATTTGAAACTGAAACTACTAAACAAATGAATTCTACAATGATTACTATCTATATAAACAAATACTGTAAAATCTGTTTACTGGAATTTCAAATTTTTAAATGACACAGAATTACTGCTCTTTAGATTCATTACAGTTACAGAACAATGTTTAAATATAAAAATTCTGTATTACTACAAGTTTTGATTGCCTTTATGCTTATTTAGATTCTTTTTCATTTTGGCTGTAAAAATTCATCCGCTTTCCTCCTCAAGCTGGTGTCCGTGGCCAGCACATGTCCGCTGGGGTCTCCTTCCCGGCTTCTGAGGTAGGGCTGTTTCGTAAGTTCAGAGTCTTTCCTGGATTGTTTCCCATCTTTTTACAGTATATTCTCAAATAATTTTAACATAGTAATGTAACCATCAGCAACCGGCAGAGTAAAAGGCAAACAGAATAAAAGGCCTCTAAATATCCTTGTCTTAAGAGTATCAAGGCACAGAGCTGAATTTACATTACTTTTCTGGTAAGTTTCTAAATTACAAAACAGATGCTGTGCCGATAGAATACTTTTTAATGATCTAAAGAAAGACACTGATTAACACCTTTGTATCTTCTGGGTTTTTTTTTTTTTGTTTGTTTGTTTGTTTGTTTTCAGTGCTAGGGACTAAACCCAGGGCCTATGCACCAAGCTATGTCCCCAGCCCCTTTGAAGGTACTTTTTTAGCACGAACAGGTTCACTATTTTGGTAAATTCCCTAAGCTGGGCTTGAACTTTCAATCTTCTTGTATCAGTCTCCCACAAAGTTGGTATTACGGGACGGCACAACGCCCACCTAATACCTTTGTCTAGTATTCACTGCTTTAGTTATAGTATACTGAATTTTGGAGCCATGATCCCCATTTGGTTGACCACGAAATGCACGTATGAACTGCAAAACATACCACACCTATTTGTTCCAATGGGATAAAATATATTACTATTGAGAATCATGGGTGTTTTTATTTTTTCATGTTTCGGTTTCCTCCTTCGACGCCAGCTCTTAGTTGTAATTGTACCGCTGTCAGCACCTCTGCCTCTAAACAACCTGGAGTTTATGAATTTCAGTGTTCCACAGACTCTGCCCAGAGGCCAGGAGAGATGGGTCCGGAGGGCACAGCCCACCCGTGCCACGCAGCAAGGCCGCCTGCCCGACTAGGGACACCAGCGGAGCTCACACAGTGTGCAAAACCTGCTGGAATTCCTCACTCCGCGCGCGGCCCACGGCCCACGGCCCACGCAGCCAGTTTTTCAGCTGCGTCTCCCTGAATTACCACGACCGACCTTCCCTGGCCCGCGCTTGGTTTTGGGTTTTTTCCTTTTTCTTTCTTCCCTCCCAGCCCACTTTCCAGATGCCACCAGTTCGCTCCCCGGAGGCTCCAGCAGACACGGAAGGGGACCGAGAGCCCCGCGCGCCGCGGAACGCCCGTGGTCCACGCGGCCCCCGGCGGTCGGGCTCAGGACGCGAAGAGCCCGGCTCGCCCCGTCCCCCGGAGGCCAGGCGCCCTGCAGCCGCCGCAGCCCGGCCAGGCCCGCCACAGCCCCGCCGCAGCCCCGCGCCCACGCCCGCCCCCCGCAGGACGCGCGCGCCCCCGGCCGAGGCGAGCACGCGCACGGCCGCCGCGCACCTTTTGCGTCAGCAGGCGCGACTGGCGCCGCCGCTCCTCAGCGCTCAGCGCGGCCAGACGCCGCCGCAGCTCGGCCCGCAGCCTGCGCTTGGCGCCGCTCACCGCCGCCGCCGCCATCGCGCCTTCCGGACGCGCACGCACGCGCACGCGCAGCACGCCGGCCGCCCGCCGGACCGGAACCGACCGGGACGGGGCTGCGACCCGACCTGGACTCCGCCCCGGCCCTCGGCCCCGCGGTTGGCAGGGCCGGGCGGACCGAGCCGACGGGACGGGCCGGGAGCCAGCTGCGGGCGCAGGGGTCGCCCTGCAGGCCCGAGGCCGCCGAGCCCGCGGTTCCAAACTGAGTCCGTGACCGGACGTGAGCTGTTGTCACCGCGCGTGAAAACAGCCCCACGGCTTGGAGTCCAGTGCAAATCCCGGGAAAGGGGAGCTGCGATTCCGGAGGCAATAAAAGAAAAGACTGATAGATGGAAGTGATGCAAAGTATGCAGAATTGTGGCTCCCTCCAAAGAACAGAGTAACTGACAGCTGGAGCGCGCATGCCGCAGAGAAACGACCACCCCCACCCCCACCCCGGCGAGGCCAGGCCTTCTGTGCAGCTGTAAGGTAGACTCCCACCGGGCCTGGATTCACTGCCGCCTCTCCTGGGCCGGGGATCTGCCCCTGGGTTTTGTTCCCTACCCGAGTGCTCCAGATCATTCCATAGAGAAAGGAGGCTTTTTTCACTAGATGGTGCCAGGGCAGCTGAGTGGCCACATGCCAGAGAAGAAAGCTGAACTTCACCGAACTCCACAGTTAACAATGAACTGAAAACGCATCAAGACCTGTCAGAGCCAAAGCAATAAAAATCTGAGAAGAAAACAGGCTTAAATCAGCATCACCTCAAACCAGGCAATGGCACCAAAAATACAAGCAGCAGAAGACAAAAAAAAGTAGGAAAGTTAGACTTCATTGAAGTTAAAAATATGTATCAAACGGCACCTATACAATGGGAGAAAATGTTTGCAAGTCATGTATGTGATAAGCAACTTGTATCCAGCATATATCAAGAATGTGTACAACTTAGGAATAGAAAGATAAATAATCCGGTTTTCAAATGAACAAAGGACTCGAGTAGGGATTTCCTCATACAACTTGTATAAATGACAAAAACCCTGAAAAAGATGTTCACTTATTAGTCACTAGAGAAATACATATAAGCCAAAACTACAGAGATAGCACACACACTGTGATGGCTATACTCTTTTTTTAAAAAGGAAATGAGTATTGGCAAAGATATGAAGAAACTGAACATGAGAATAGAACGTGGTGAAGCCGCTTGGGAAAATTGGGAGGCAGCTCCTCAAACATTAAATACAGAGTTACCATCTGATGGCAAATCCCACTCCTGCTTCTCTACCTAAAAGAATTGAAAGCATAGTCACATAAAAACTTACACATGAATGTTGATAGCAATATTACTTGCAATCTAGTTGTGAAAACAGCCCAGATTTTTGTCACCTGCTGAATATACCAAAACGTGGTATATCCATATGTTGGAATATTATTCAGCCCTTAAAAGTAATGAAATACTGATACATGCAATGAATGGACCTTGAAAATAGTAGACTAAGTGAAAGTGGACAGACTGCAAGTGCTAAAGCACTTGGCTGCCAAACTCAAGGCCCGGGTTCAAACCCCAGCACTGCAAAAACATGAAACAGCTGTGTCAGGTTAGATAAAGCTTTGATTGGCTTGATGAAAAGAGCCTTCCTCATTCCCTCCTAACCCCTGAGAACAATGCAGCAGCCAACCCGTGTTTCCAGGACAGTACCTGCACTCCTAGGTCTGTGGACTTGGGGCAAGCCCTGGAGGAGAGCTACTGAGAGCCCTGTCTCTCCCGTTTGGTTAACACTGGGGTGCCACATATGATCTGGAGCAAAAACCAAGCAGTTTCTAGTACTGGGGGCAAAGCATGCTTAACTGTGCAGGGCAGTGTGAAGGCCAGGGAAAGATGCAGGGCAGCTGCTCGCAGACACGGCAGGAAGTCGGTGGAAGGCTGCAGCCATCCTAACACCCTCAGAAGGGCTTTGAGTTTTACTGCCAAAGAGTTACGAGTCCTGTCCTTTAAAGGACCCTTCTGAGCGCACATGGGCAACAAACTGCAGAAGGGAAGCAATAAGCAGGAAGGCCAGGGACGTGGTGACCATGAGAGCTGCGTGAGATTCGAGGAGGCTGGAGTCAAGGCAGCCAGTGACCATGCTAAATACTGGTGTATCTGGGTGGTGAAATAGTTTGCCGATGGGCTGGATGTGTAATGAAGGAAAGAAGAGCCAGAGTCCAGTGGGTGGAGAGACGGCAATCCCATTAACTAAGGATGAAGGATTCATGGCCAGACATTGGCAGAATGAGAATCATGGACTCAGACGTCAGCACAGCGAACCAAACATGCTTGCTGGTCATCTGGAGCGCAGTGGTTGGCCTGGCTGCAGATGGGGAGGTGGAGGTGTAAGCTCACAGTTGGTCCTGGAGGTCGTGCTCTGGCATGACAGAGCCAGGTATGATAAGAGGCCAGGGAGAGAAAAGTGCCCGGGACCCCCGGAGTGTGCAGTATGGGGAGTTCCCCTTGGGGAGGTTCACCAAGGAACCAGCGCGGCCAGTGAGGAGGTGAGAACCCAGAAAGAGCCCGGTCCTCAGAGTAAAACCACTCAGAGCCATTCACTGCCTTAGGTGGTGTGTGTCAAGGGAGCCGGGGATGGAGAATTCATCCTTTAAGTTAGCAACGGAGGAACATACTGACATGTTTGAGTGTCAGCAGTGGCAATAAGGACGTGAGTGGTAATCAGAGCGTGGAGACTCCTCAGAAAACAAAAACCAAAAATTCTATTTGACCCAATTCTTTCCCTTCTAGATATCATCTCAAAATAGGTAAAGATATCCTATTACAGGACTACGTGTATTCTCAATTTTATATCAGCACAATTCATAATAGTTAAATTTTGGAAACAACCTATATGTCCACCAGCAGACAAAAAACGTGCTTATACACAGTGGAGTATTACTCTGCCATAAAGAAAGCTAACCTACCCAGGCATGGTGGTGCGTAGCTGTAATCCCAGCCCTTGAGACTGAGCCAGGAGGGTTGCTGAGTTTTAGACCAGCCTGGGCTACAAGGTGAGTTCAAGGCCAGCTTGAACCGCATAGTGAGAGCCTGCCTCAAAAACAAAACAAAAAAACAAAAGATAAGCTTGAGTCATTTGTCGGAAAACGGCTGCACCTTGAAACAATAGTGTTATGAAATAAATCAGACGCACAGACTTGAATGGTCTCTTACAGGAGGAAGCTCGATTATAAAGCCCACAATAAAGGTAACATTGAAGTCTCAGATGAGAAGAGATCAAGGACCTGTGCCCGGGACGCGGGGCACGGTCCGCCCAGGTGCTGCGACTCCTGGGGCAGCCGTGGACGCGGGCGGTGGAGGTGTGCAGCTCGCTGATGTGGGAAGCAAGCTCAGGCGACAGCTCGGGGTTCCCCAGCGTTCCAGGTGTGTGCCACCCGGCCTTTCCACGTGCATGTCTCCCGCTGCTCACACGGCAGGCACCACCCTCCCACCCTCAGTTTCTGCAAACGCTGGTCCCGGGTTTGGCTGTTACACGGGCTGGTTTAGATTTATCTGTTAAGGCAAAAAAATCACACCCACACCTTGCCTCTGAGCACCCAGGGGAGGTGCCAGCGCTGTGGGAGGTGACGCGGGCACGACCCGCCGGCTTCCACCTCCCTGACAGGAGCTTTGTGTCCTCGCCAGCTTTGCAGATCTGAAACTGTAGCGGCCAGCCCGAGTCTGGCTGCCCAAGGAGAGGACAGCTGCAAACGGGGTAGTGAGGCGGCATACGGAGCCCGAGCCACCTCACTGCGGATGGGAGGAGTTTGTAATCCCAGGGGAAGGTTATGGAAAATCTAGCAAGTAAATTCCAGGTGCTGCTTCCAGGGCCACCCGTGGTGAGGATAGAGACAAACACTCACCTGGAGTTAGGGGACCTAGGTCTAGTTAGAACCATGGCTAGCCAGAGCCACGGTCACGACCCAGGGCTGACTGCAGGTTTTACTAACTGGTGAAGAGGGGAGTGGCTCGGGGATGAGTGGCTGTGAGGGTGGTGGGAAGTCCCTGAGTGCTGGGGGCCGGGCGGTAGGAGGGACAGCAGCACCTGTGTGGTGCGCGGAGGAGGGTATGCTGAAGGAGCGCCGGATCCCGACAGGTGGTGTTGGGGTCTGTGCCCAGATCCCCAGTGCCTCAAACAGGTGCAGCGAAGGCCCAACAGAACGAGACAAGCTCCTGGCATGGTCTTTAGGGCTCCAGGAGGACTCAGACCCTCTGCAGAGCTCGTGACTCTGCTGGCCGGCCTAAAGACTGATCCTGGGCAGCCTGTATTTAATCAGAACAGCAAGGAGTTGAGTGGAAAACTAGGAAACCTGGGCAGGGCCTTGGGAGGGGTTCAAGGACCCCTCAGAGCAACAAATGATGCGAATTAAGGAAACTATCCCAGAAGTCTGGGATGGCCTCAGCTGGGGCCTGACTTGCCCCGAGGTCTCCTCGTTCTCAGGTCAGCCATGCCCAGGCCACGCCACAGCCTTGCACGCGTATTCAGCTCAACGGCTCCAGCAAGGTGGCCTCTAAGTCTGGAGGGATCTGCGTCACACAGTGTAGGACACATCTTGTGTTTGGGGTCGGCTGCTTCCGCTCTGACGTCTGGCCTTTCTTCCATGGGATGGCACACCCCTCCCTCGAGGCTCGGTCCCTCGGACAGTTCAGCATCATTCAGCCTGGCTCACACTTAGTAGTTGGGAGCTATCGGGGGGCATCACTGACCTGTCTCATTGCCCAGCAGCTACAAGTCAGCCCCTGGGCTAGACCAATATGCATTGCTTAGAGCCAGCTGAGAGGGCAATTTCCTCAGCAGCGGTGTACCTGTCAGTACAGGGAACCGCAATGGAAGCAAATCGTCTTGTTTTAGGGGGAGCCATCCTGGTGGTCCTCCACACAGGAGAGCTGGAGGCCCCCTGCCTGGCTGCCCAGGGTGCCCACACAGCTGAACCTCACAGCAGCTCCTGTCCGTGACGGAGCAGGGACCCAGAAGAAGAAGCAGGGGGCGAGGACAGGACAGGGCCCTGAGTGCTCAGGAGGCCCAGGCCATCTCCACCCACTCAGCCAACTCTGGGACTTGGGCACCTGAGTCGCTCCCTGGCCTTCAGCCTGTTCACTCAACAGCCAAAGGTGGGCAATGCACACCACAGACAGCCACGAAGACGAGCAAACACACGCAGGTGCCCACGCAATCCGGCTTCAATCCCCAGCCCCAAAATGAGGTTCCTGGCAAATGGGAAACAGCCAGCCACCATCACGCCTCCCTGTGCTGCATGCTGAGATTGCCCGTGCTTAAGTCCCCTCCTCCAAAAGTAAAGAACCCTCATCCGCCTCTGTTCCTTAAACAAATATTGGCTGAGCTCCTACCAGGCCCTGAGCTGGACTCTGAAGTACAGAGTCCATGCTGCCTGCTGTCTGCTGGGAGCACAGATCTGTGAGTCTCAGCCAGGCGTGGTGGTTTATCCCTGTAATCCTGGCACTTGGGGGGCTGAGGCAAGAGGATCTCTGTGAGTTCGAAGCCAGCCTGGACCACACAGAGAGATCCTGTCTCAAAAACGAAAACAAAGAAAAAGAAAAGAGAGAAAGGAAAAAAAATACATGAATCTTAAATCATGCAAAGGTAACCTTGGAACTGAGATAGGGGTATCTTTGGGAATTTTGCCCTACTCCAAGAAGGCGTTCTGGCATTCTCTCAGTTGAAATCTGAGGGACACGTGAGCACCACCCACCAGGTGAGGAAGCAGAGGCAGCACCATCTACAAAAGATGCAAAAGGGGTTGCAGTAGTCCAAAGGAGCTGCAGCAGGCCCAGCGCCTCTGTGCACAGAGGCACAGGAAAGACCACGCTACCAGCGGGCGCCATGCAAGCAGTGCTGTCACCTCCCCTGGCAGAGTCCTTTTCAGTGGCAGAGGACCCGGTTGTGGTGGCACACACCTGTAACCCTATTCTGGGAGGCTGAGGCAGGAAGGTTGCAAGTTTGAGCCCAGTGTGAGCAATCTAACAAATTAGGAGAACTGTCCCAAAATGAAAAATGATTTTTAAAAAAGCCCGGGAGTGAATGCTCCAAAGCCCTTCCACAGGTGCCCTGCTGATAGGCGTTGGAAGTGTCGACAGCTTATTATGAGTAAGGCTGCTACGGACAGTAAGTACCTGGTGGCAGAACTTCTGGGCCTTACCGCGGTGTACGTACATATAACTTGGTAAAAATGTCCCAAGCCATTTCCAAAGTGGCTGCACAATGTTACACTGTCACCGTAGTACGGAAGTGCCCGGGTTTCTCTGCACTTCTCCAAAGCCCGACTGCTGTCACAGTGCTCATTTTAGCCACTCAGGAGGGTACCTAGTGGCTGCTCATTTGGGTTTGGTTTTGTTCTTTTTATGTTTTTCCTTTGTGACAGGGTTTCATCATGTTCCCCAGGCTGGTCTTGAACTCTTGGGCTCAAGCAGTCCTCCTGCCTCAACCTCCCTAGTTCTGCGATCACAGGCATGCACCCCCAAGCCTGGCTTTGTTTCTCATTTGAAGCCTTGGGGTGCAGGTTATCCTCTCACTGAGCTGAAGCACACAGAGGTGAATTGAAAATAAGCTCTTCGCTGGGTTATGATATTATCTTCCATTCTGTGACCTGCCTTTTTAGCAAGATTTTTGTTTTCCATAGCTTTGTTGTCTTTATAGCTTTATATATTTCAGATACTTTCTGCCATTTTTTTTCTATTGGTTTTTTAAAGTTTTTATTTTAAAGAGAAAAAACCAGAATTTCAAAACAAGATAATAGAGTAACAATGGTTAACACATTGCATATTATTATCTTTAAATTAGAGTAAAGATATAGGCATTTAATTGTTCAAACAATATTAGCACAAATCTTTGTTTTCAATGAACTAAGATAATAGTATAACTATCTTGTGTAAGTATATATACGTGTGTATATATGGTCAGAGTTCTTAATGGTGTCTTGTGTTAGAGTAGTCTTTTAGACTTTTATTTTGGTCTTTCACTGTGCAGTTCAGGCTGCCTCAGTCTAGTGTTGATCCTCCTGCCTCAGTCTCCCGAGCGCTGAGATTGCAGGTGTGGGCCACTACACTTGGCTCCATGAATTCTAAATTAACCATTTCCTTTTTCTTTTCTTGTTCAGGCCTTTTGTGCTCTGTGAAACTTCTGCCTATTCCAAAGTCATTCAGCTTTTCTCCTACATTTTCTCTAAGAAGTTGTATAGTGTTAAAAACCATTTAGGTCTATGGTCTGCTTCGGTTTAATTTGTATGTGTGCAATGGGGAAAGAATTAAGGCCCGCAGAAATTTTCTTTTCCTAAGAGTAAATTAATTAAACACACAGTGAGCTCTGGCTTCAAAGACCAAGTTGCACACCAAACCAGACGTCACTGATTTCCCAACAGCTTTTAGCTGAAGAGGTGACCGTGGGGACAAACCCAGGTTCTGTGGTTTCTTGTGCAAATGTGTTCCAGGTAACGATCTCGAACTTCCTGTTGTGTCTGCCCGTAACTGACCATCCCTGTCACCCAGCTCTGAGAAAGAGAGTTAACACGGAAGGCCGTCGCGAGGGGCGAGGCCCTGGACAGGCGGAGGTGAGAGAGGGTGTGCACTCTCACCCTGGCCCACAGACCCAGCCCGGCCGTGGCACAGTGGTTACATCTCAGCTGTGACTTCATAGTGAGCCAGCGCTTCCTCGGCCACAAACCCCTCCTGCCACTCAGGCCCACCCTCTCCCCAGTGTCAGGAGTCACACTGGGCAGGGACAGCCACTGTCACCTGCATCCCCTTCCAGGATGCAGGTGTGCAGCGAGGAGTGCCCAAAGCCCAGGCGCTAAGGGAGGGGGACTTTGCCAATTGGTGATTTTCATCTGAATTGAGCAAAAGACCCGCGTGTGATTGACATGTCCTCTCTATCGCTTTCCTTCCTTCTGGGATGGGAGTCTGGGAGGGGGTCTGAGGACTGGCAGTCAAATAGACCACGCCAAGAACTTCGTGTATGGCCAATTCTCACTCCAAAAGGTGGAGTAATACTTCTAGCTATGGGACAGAGGAGTCCAGTTTCTATGACCTGCCTTGGGGAAGAGGAACGCTAGTGTCTGTGCATTGCCTGCGAGACAATGAGAGGTGCCTACAGGAGGACAGAAAAGGTCAGACAGAAGCTTTGCTTCTAAGGCTGCTTCCGAAGGCTTGACTTGGGGATTTCACTGTTTGGTTGCTGTTTTCGTCAACTCCAAACAACTGGCCAGAGAGTGAGATGTGGGTGGTGAGGAAGGCACTGGGGGGAACTCTGAGTAGCAGGCAGGGTGCAGAGGGCCAGCCTGGAAGGTGGGCAGCAGCCTCGGCCGCTCACGGTCTCGCCCTTGGCACGCAGGGACTGGAAATGCACAGACTTCTGCAGTGGGAGAAACGCCCCCTTCCTGGTCAGCAGCCCCACGCCAGCACCTACCGGGGCTCTGTGCCACACAGAGTCACCTCCTCTGCTGAAGTTCCAGGCAGACTGAAAATTAAGACACAAATTACATACAGAGACAATTTATTCATTAAAATAGGGACAAAAGTCTGTAACTCTGGAATGTCAGGGCTTTGCCTCATTTGGCTTGGCTTGGCTTGGTTTTGGGGGTAGACAGAACCCGAGGGCAACAGTCTCTCAGCAGTCCGTGTCCTTTCTGGTCAGTAGAATTGCTTCAGGAGAGAGAGCATCTCACAGAGCTGTCCCATAACTCCCACAAAAGTCAGCCAGCCAGATTTGGGCTCAAACTTCCGCACGAAGCCGTTGTCCTAAGAGAGAAAACATTTAGGGGTTTTTAAAGGAGTGACCATGAGGGTTGCCAGAATAAAGAGCACAGACACTGCATCCATGCAGCACGAGGAATCAGTCTTTTCTGTGCTGTCCCCTGCTGTGTGTCCCCCGCCCTTCAGCATCGTTCTTTACCCCCAAATCCAGGCGGCACACACAGCTGTGATAGCAGAAGCACCCCCCGAGCTTCTGGTATGATTTTCACTGTTTGCAGCCACATGTTAAAAAGTTAAAAGAAAGAGCCAATAGTTTTAAGATAGAGCTAATCTATATTTCATATGTCTAAAATATTATTTCAATATAAAAGCAGTATGAATCATTAATATTTTATCCTTTATTCCAAAACTTTAAACTCCAGGGGGTTCTTAAGGCTTCCACCCTCATTCAAACCAGACGAATCTCATGATTGGGCACCAGCACATGTCCCTGAAAACAGAGAAGTCACCAAGCCAGAGCATCGCAACACAGTGAGGCTGGCGAGGCTGCTGGGCTGGCACTTCTGCTCTCTAGTTCTCGGGCTGATTATTGTCCGACCAGCTCTTATTTTCAGAGAAAGACGGGCTTTAGAGGCTAGAGAGTCTCATTTCCTTCCTTCTCTTCCAAGTGTCTAGGACTTAAAAAATCCATTTAGATTTATGAACTATTAAGAATTACAAGGATTCAGAGTAAATTAAATTAGACAGATGCATTTGATCCTATGGAAAAGTTGTTTCTATTATGATTCATTCTCTGTGAGAACAGATACAGCTTTTTGTTTGTTTTTTGCACTAGAGATTGAACCAGGGAGCACTAGGTTACTTTGCCAGCCTGTTCTATTTTATGTTGAGACAAGATCTTGCTAAGTTGCCCAAACTGGCCTCAAATGTGTGACCCTCCTGCCCCCGCCTTGGGAGTGGCACAGAAACACCACAGCTCGCTCCTCACCTGCTCTGAAAGCTCCACCTCTTACCACTCAGCGTGAGTTTTGCAGGGGCAGCCAAGCCACAGCAGTGCTGTGTGTTACTCTGTGTGTGGGGCTTCCCTGGGACCAGAGTGGCTCCATGTAACCAAAGGCTGCTGTTCCAGAAACAGGCAGACCTGAGGATTGTGCGCTTCTGAACTGCTGGCAGGAAAATGCGTCCTTATCTGTGCACTTTTGATTACAGACGCGGCTTTTCAGTGGCCCATCTGTTCAGTGACTCTTGGGTCTTAGGCCTACTGTGTTTAGACTCAGGACGGTGCAGGACGGTGGCGGCAGCGTGGCCTGGAGGCGGCCTCCTCCGCAGCACGGGCCTGCACTGAGCAGCCCTGCTGCTCACGTTGTTACACGTCACAGCACTGTGTGTCAGAGTTACACAATTAAAAGCGGAGTCATCCAGGTGGAGCTTCCTGCGACCACTTCTTCGTCTGAGTAATGTCGTGTCCCTGGTATACGATTCCTCACTCAGGGACCGATTCATCCAACAACACGGTCACAGAAACAGAACTTGGCTGTTAAGCAAGGGACATCCGCAAACTGCATCATTAAAGGAAATAGTCTTGGAAAGAACATACTTAAAAAAAATTCTGAAAAGGAACAAGTCAGTGCCTCTGCCCTCACAGGGTACATCATGTCCACTTAGAACTGGGGTGCACGTGATTGCAGTGTAAATATTTCCAGCGTTGCCTCACACATTCCTGGTCCTGTTCCTAAGGTCTACAGAAAATCCCACTACTTTAATGTGACCTAACTACTTAGCCAGTTCCTGTTGTTAGACATTTGGGTCATCTGCAGTGACCTTTCTTAGGAAAAATGCTTCCATGGTGAGCACCGGAGTGAGCCCGCCCAGCCCTCGTATTGTGGGAAACTGCCTCATGATAAGACTCTGACACCAAAGAGTGCAGTCGCAGCACCCTGCTCCTGGGACAAGGACCCTCCTGGCTTAACGCTAGGTGGCTAAATGAGTTCACGGCTGAACAAGGGATCGTAGGCAGGTGCGCTGCAATCCCAGGAAGAGACCTGGTCAAAGGAACCCGACTGGATGCGTTGTTCCATTTGCGTAACTCTCAGTGCTGCGCCGTGGTGTGTGACCACGCAAAGCCGGGTACTGTGCCGGGTACTGTGCTGTACAGCGCAGTCAGCAAAAATCACAGGTCCGTGACAGAAAAAGCCGCCACAGGCCGCACACCGGGCACTCCTGTGGCCAAGTCCCTGTGCAGGTCCTTAGTCTGAGCTGTCCCTGAACAGCTGCGGCGCTGACCAAGAAGGTCTCACAAACTGCTCTCCAGGAGGACCTGTGGCGCAAAGTCACACCCTTACCCTCATCTGCAGAGGGAGCTAGTAGTCAAAAATAGTGTGGAGCATTTCCTATGCTTTACACAGGGCTGGTTTAATTGGTCTAACACACAAAAAATCTGCTGAAACACGAATTTCTTTAGCTGCGGTAATGTTTTCCGGTGTACTTTTAATGATTTGTGCTTCCTTCTTGACAGCCTTCCCTTTTCTCACTATTAAAAGGCTTGATGATTTTCTCTTACATTCCATGATGTAAATATTTTCCTACTCTGTTGTTCTTTTGCGTGGAATTTCGATCTTTTCATCTTCGCATAGCTGAATTGTGTGCTTTGTTCCCCTGGTTCGCTCTTTTCTTTAGAAATGGGAAAGATGACACATTAACTACTCAACAGACAGACCCTGACCATTGTCGCAGTCAGAAAAATCATTGCACTTGACAGACTGGGGCTCTGGAAAGTTCTAGGAAGCGGAGGAAGGAAAGATCTGTGTCCCTAAGCGCGTGGAAAACCCCGGGTGTTTCCCCAGGCAGGACTGTGCCCTGCTAGGTGCGAACCCCACATCCCACACGCAGCCCCAAGGGCTTTCTTGGGCAATCTGCCCACGGAGACGGAGACTTCCCCCAGGCAGCGTGACTGCTCCCCTCTGGGCGAAGGGTGGAACCACAGCTCGGGCTCTCTTCCGTCACACCACACGGCCCACAGCCCCCACGAGGGTTTCTTTTCTGCTCTGAGTCATGCTATGAGCTATCTGACCCTGGAACTTGTAAACGTTTGCTAGAGAGACATTTAATGACATTACTTTAACAATTTCCCAGTCCCTGTGGTGCTCGTTTGGAAATGTACGCAGTGGAAAGAGGCAGAATATGCCACTGTGCGCCCCTGAGGGCCTTCACCCCGCTCACTGTCCCCCAGACTCGGGGGTGGAGAAAACACTTGGCTCCCAGCCCTAGCTGGCCACCACACAGCCAGGCAACAAGCACTAAACAAAGGCATGTGACATGTGACCTGCCAGGTGGTGGGGACAGCGTCAGCACACCAGCGGCCGTGGAGTACCCGAGCCAGTCCAAGAGGAGGCAGCCTTGGAGTGAGAATGAGTGCAAACAGAGAGCCTCGCAGTCCTCTGGGGGAAGATAGTCCAGGCAGAGGAGGGCGCATTGCAAAGGTCCTGGGGCAGAACATGTGGACTTTATCCAGGGTGCTGGGCAGTGGTTGGAGGCCGGGTGAGGCAGGGCTCTGAGTCCAGAGGTCACAGCTTTGCATTTTGTTCCTAGGGAGAAGGGAGTCTTAAAGTCTGCTTGGGCCAGGACGTGATGTGAATCCCATTTTTTAACTGTCACTCTGCCCAGTGTGTAGAGAGCAGGTCACAGCAGAGCAGGGCAGGATCAGGGAGAGAGGCAGCAAGCTGTGGACATGGGCGAACGGGACAGGGCAGCCTGGAGGCCGCCACACACCCAGGACCGGAAGCCCAGCCAGAAACAGCTGGAGTGGCTGGGTTTGAGGGGAGGCTGGTCCGGAGCCAGCGCACTGCCCTGGGGGCCGTGGCAGGAGGCTTTTCTGACTCCTGCGTTGCTATCACACGCTTCTGCCTGACCTGGATTGTGTTTCTCCTTGCTATTCATTAAATAAAACTCAAGTTAAAATTTGAGAGATAGGAATTTGACCCCCAAACCTGTCTGACTGAATGATGCACACCAGTATTTAAGGTCGTATCCGGGAACTGGGACAGCGGATACTTAATAAACTTGTGCTAAAAAAGAACATCACTTCGCTGCCGGACCTTTATGCCCTTTGGAGATGCCTTTGCAAACCGAACGCTTCAGCAGTACACCATTTGTTTTTCTAAGACAAAAGATGTTAATGTATGAGTCATGCTTTTCTAAACTAAAACCTCAGTGTTCAGGCTTAATTGCAGTGAGGGCAGTTTTCAATAAAGAAGTGGGTTTGGGGTCTCAGTCTGGGAAAGCTTCATCACCACTGGCTCAGTCAAACCACTGCATGGCTCCGTGTGCCCAGCCTGCACGTTCCCTTGGGCTACAATTGTCCTGGCTGGTATTTACAACAGGAGGAGGGAAAGAAGAGAGGGAGGGAGCGAGGGAGAAAGGAAGGAAAGAAACAGGGAAGGAGGGAGGGAGCAGCTCCTCTTGGCCTCGCTGCCTTAATGTTCTGCTTACCTGGAAAGCACCACTCCGCACAGCCCTGCTTGCAAAGGGGCTTTCTTTTGCCATTTAGAGAAAGTTTTAAAAAATCACATATTTAGACCTTTTGGAATTTCCTTCATAACCCCACAGCTGTAAGGTCCTTGATGGTTCACAAAGCACTTTCACAAAAGTGTTCATTCTCTTTCTCTCTCTTCTCTCTCTCTCTCTCTCTCTCTCTCTCTCTCTCTCTCTCTCTCTCTCTCTTCCTCTTCCTACCAGGGATTGAACTCCTGACCTCATGCTTGCCAGGTGGGCACTTGAGCTGGCAGCAGTGTTTTCTGGTCTCTCACCTTCCCTCCTGAGGCGGGTATTACTGTCTTTGTGAACACTGTGGATGTACTATTATGCTGTATCTCACCTTATCCACATTGCAGGGAACTCAGTAGTGTACCCAAGATTATACCTCCAGTGTGCAAGGAAAATCAAGGTTCAGCCTCCGGCTTTAGGGCGCATTCGGTCCCTCCCTCTCACGGATGTGCCGATTGCCTTCTGCACAAGAGGCCCCATGCTAAGCTGAGTCTAGAGATGATTCAGGAGACACGACTCCCCCCGCAGGAGCTAAGGACCAAGCCTTCTTCCCACTCCGCCAGCACAGGGACCGCAGGGCCCAAAGGAAGAATGACCCCTCGGGATGAGAGGCATGAGTTCCACCTCAAGCTTGTCCCCTCTTCTTCCTTTCTTTCCTTTGACACGTACCTCACTGTCTTGTCCACACTGTCCTCAAACCCCAAGTTCCAAGCAGTCCTTCTGCCTCAGCCTCCCCAGTAGCTGAGACTACAGCACATGTGCCCAGCTACACTCCAGTGGCTTTTGAGAATCACCCTCGAGGCTCGGCACTAGCTCCTGCACCTAAGCTTCTGACAGCCCTGCGTCTTTAGCACTTCTCAGACAGAAGAAAGGAAAGCAGGACAGAAGCCTCGAGCTGATCATAAAGAACCAGGAGTGAAACTGTGATCCCTGCTTGGCCACACCAGCCTTATTTTTGCCTCTTGTGCATCTACGTTACGTGACGATGAACATCTAGCTTAGTCGATTGCTTAATGTATGGAGACTCAATCCCAGGAAGTGGGAGGCGACAACTTCCAGTTTTGCTGAAGAGGCGAAGGTTTAGGGCAGTGACATCATTTGTCATTTGTACAAGTCATACGGAGACCAGCACCAGGCCCGAGACAAACCCAGATCTGTCTGGATCAGGCTCTGCATGCGGCGTCTCTCCGTGCTCCCACACTCCATTCCCTACCCAGAAGTCTACAGAAAGTCTCCAGGCACTGCAAAAACATAATTAGATTACAGATTTGCATGTTAAACGCAGCGGTGTCTGGAGAATGTTTCTCAGGATACAAAGGGAAAAGTCGGTGCCGCCTGATAAAGTTGTGCAGTGCCTCTTTCTCTTCCCATGGGCTCCTGTCTCTAGCAGCAGTGGCTTGTGAGCACGCAATCCCCACGACATGAGCTACTCAAGAATGAATGCACCAGGCCAGGCGTGGTGGCCCATGCCTGTCACCCGGCACTCTGAGAGGCTGAGGCAGAGGACTGCAAGTGTGAACCCTGCCTTGGCAACCTAACAACTTAGCAAGACCCCCTTTCAAAATAAACACAAAACTACTAACTGCGAGACTAACACTTGGCCACAGCTGTACACCCTGATGTGAGGAGCACCGCCTGGGGTCAGCAGGATCAGCGTCTCCCGTGAGCTACAAAGCAGCACTGCGACTGCTCGGACGTCTCAGAGACCCTGGCCCGCCTGCTACCTCTGCCGGGGAGGAGCTTAAAACCCAGACAGGACACGAAGGACAAGTGTGCATGCTGCAAGTGTGCACTTACACCTCCATGCTGCCCACACCTCGCTCGCCCAGGGACTCTCGGAAAGGAGACCATGGTTCCAAAGTCACAGAGACTGCCTCACGCCCACATTCATTCTGTGTTCTAGGTGCTTCCGACATGGACGGTGAAGAAGTTGGATTTTTAAGTTACAGGCATCCCCTGTCCTTCTGTCTGTGTCCTGCTGGGCAAGGGACACAAAGCGTGCAAGATGGTCACTCTCTCTAGGTCTCTATGCCATGGAAGGCAGCCTTACTTGGAATTGACACAGCATAGTGAAAATATTGCTGAGTCCTTTGGTACAGCTTCCTGCGGTCACCCAAGAGCACAGGCATCACCCGGGGCACAGAGAGCTGAGCAAGACAAGAGCTCCAGGATGAAGGGTGCGATTGAGCAAGACTTGTTCTAGTAAGACCTGCCACTGGGGGAAAAGGCTTGAAAGAGAATGGCACAGGGCTCGCTGGCATAAGTGCCTGCTGGCAGGCGCAAGGTCATGAGTTCCATCCCCGTACCGAGAGAGAGAGAGAGGAGAGAGACAGAGACAGAGAGAGAGAGAGAGACAGAGACAGAGACAGAGACAGAGACAGAGACAGAGACACACAAAGTGAAAGACTAATACATCTCATTGTTTCTTCTTTTTGTGGAAGCCCAGGGATCAAGGCCAGTGCCTTAGCATTGAGCTACATGTCCAGCCCCTTTTATTTTTTATTTTTGAGAAGAGTCTTCACTGTTTCCCAGGGTGGTTTTGAACTTTAGATTCTCCCCTGCCTCAGCCTCACAAGGAGCTTGGAATATAATCATAGATACCTGGCTTGCATCAAACTTATTTTTTGAATCAAACTTTTAAACACCCATAACAGCTGAAAACAGCTATAGTTTTAAAAGACAATCAACAACTAGAAATCTGCCACATACAGTCATAAATTTTATCTACAATACTCAAAGGATCCCTATAAGTCAATAAGAAAAAAGCAAAATGACATAAAAATGAGCAAAAGCTATAAACAGATAATTCCCTGAATAAGAATTACAAGTGCTTAAAAAACAGATGAAAGATACTAGTATGAGCCGGGCGTGGTGGCACAGGCCTGTAATCCCAGCACTCTGGAGGCTGAGGCAGGAGGACCATTGCAAATTCAAGACCAGCGTGGGCTACAAAGTGAGCTCAAGGCCAGCCCGACCCTGTCTCAAAAAGACGAAAAAAAAAGAACCTTAGTATGCAAAGATGTATAGCCCTGTTATTAATCAAGGAAACAAGAAGCAATACAAGGTAAACAACATATTGAACAAATTACAAAAGCTTGCTACAACCTAATACACACATTACCTATTTAACAACTACTGAGATTTATGACCTGTCCTCCTCTGTGCAGTTCTGTACACTTGTTTACAGGCCTCAACATCTTATTTGCATATAGTACACCTTGTTTATACCATACTGTCATGTCTGAGTATACTGCGCACACAGTACCACAGGTAAGGGTCCTGCCAATGAAAGCAAAGTCATTGAGCTGGAGTTCCCTTTGACCGTTTCTTTGTTCTGAATCTTGCTACGTATATACTACATACAACTGGTCATTTAACAATTGGTTTCATGACCTAGCTGCAGGTACTGTGCTTGGTCGTTGGGTGAGGAGGGTCTCCGTTAGCCTGCTGGTGGCAGGCAGCGGGAGATGGTGGCTGCTCTAACAAGCTGCTGGGAGCAGTGTGACTCAGTGGGACCACTCTGGTGGAACAGGGTCCAGGAGACACACAGAGAGGTCCAACAGTGCTATGCCCCAAATATCTGCCCTGGGAAAGACGCACACACAGACCCACAGGGAAGCGGGCTCCCCAGGGTTTGTGATAGCAAGGTCTGCAAACAGTGGAGGTCCCACCAGCTAGGATGGCATCACACACAACAGAAGACACAAAAGACTCTGGAGAATACTCCTTTAAGTAGCTTTGATTGAAAAAGAAGTTGCAAAATGAGCAATGCATACTATTTTTATAAATAAAAACTTTTAACAAAACATTATGGCAATGAGAATACAGTTCAGGGGCAGAGTGTGTGCTTGGCACAAAGGACTGGGCTGGACCCCCAGCCCCAACACACACAAAAGGAAGAAAATCTGATAGCTTAGCATGGTGGCATTGGCCCTGTAGTCCCAGAGGCTGAGACAGGAAGATCCTTTGAGCCCAGGAGTTCGAGACCTTGCAAAATACCTGAGCCCACATCACAAAGAAGAAAACAAAAAGCACTCCATGTATGTGCATTTTCTTTGGGTGTATTCAGTCAGCAGGTTTGCATGCAAAATGAAAACTAACAACTTGGGAGAGGTGCGAGCTAGCTAGAGCTGGGTGTTAGAGAGAGGATCTAGAGAGAGAGGGTTGCTGCTTTTAAATAAGTAATAATAAGCATATTGGGGCAGAAAGGAAGGCACATGCACCGCCTCCAGCTCTGCAGGCTTCTGTCCACTGCCAAGGCCCCTCACACTCTTGGCTTGAAACATTGATAGTAAAATTTTATTTAAAACTTCTTTAAAAAAAAAAAAAAAAAACTCCTGCTAGTGATACAGTGCATTGTTTTTGCATTTTTTTGTTGATCAGTAAGCTTTAAAGCCAGAGTTTATTACAGTAGCTGGAAAAAATCAGCTTGCAAAGTAATGAACTTGCAAAAATGTACACCCATCTTTTGCAGCGTAGTAAGTACCTACATTGCACAGTGTCTGGTGCCAAGCCTGTCGTATTCATCATGCCACCCTGCCAAGCTCGGGGTTCAGCAGCTGCCCTGCCCTGTTCTGGGAAACCACTTTGTTGGCTCCTAAACCTCGGGACAGGAATTCACACTGTCAAGAAGAAAAGCTGGAAACAGGAGGATTTTCCAACTGTTAACTTCAAAGATTCATTGAAAATGAGCCAGAAAAGGGTTCTTTAATTTTAAAAGTTATAAACTTCTAAAACAAGACAACCCAAAGAAAATCCAGTCCTCAGGAAAGTGTTTTATCACTGTCTTACTTAGCAAGGAAACTCAATTCCTACTTCACATGTGAACACAGAGGACAGGAAGAGGCCAAGGCCAGAGAGCCCTCACATACCCAGCCTCCGTTCTGCCGTATCCAGCCTCCCATGCGGCTCATTATGAACTCAGCCACGAAGTAGGAAATCTCCTTGTAAGTGTCCACATCTGGGGCGATTGGCTCTCGTGGGAGTTTCTTGAGGATGACCCCCCCAAAAGCAAAGATAGTCACAATCCGTCCCCAGTTAATGATGCCATCCTCGAACTCCTTCTCCATCACTTGGTTGAATATCGACTTCGCAGTGTCGATGGACTCCACGTCAATTCTGTCCAGCCACGGTTTCAGCCGCCTCTCCACCTCTTCCTGGACGGAAAGGGCCATGTCCTGCAGCACCTTGGATGCCTTGCTGGGGCTGGTCTCGCACTGAGGCACCTGCAGGACGTGGAGCAGGTAGTCCTGGGCCAGAGCCTGCGTGTACCTGAACTCCAGGTCAATCATCCTGGGCGGCAGACAGCAGCCTGCTGCTGGCTCGCGCAGATCGAGACTGCCAGCAGTGGCGCTGAGCAGGATGTGACCCATGCTGCAGCTGACAGTGGTGGATTTTCTGTTTACATCATGGTTCAGGTTCTCCCTCCCCCTTTCTGCGTAGTCTGTGTGTGTGAAAGAGAAAGTTTAAAATGTTAAACAGGAAAAAGTCACTTCCTCATCCTGTAACGCAGCTTGATCCTCACTGATGGCAGGAATGTAAATGGGTCCAACTCCTGAGAAAAAGCTCCAGGTGGGATTAACAGACCCTGCAGGTCCATCCCTAAGTGCAGAAGGGCCGGAGATTTCCCCTGCTGGAGGCCAAATGGGTAGGCTGGCGGTTTCAAGACAAAGTCACTGGAGAAACTGTAGCTTCCAGCACCCCAGGGCTAGCTGTCACCGGGGCTGCCACGTACCTGCGCAAACTCAGAAATCACCTGCCTTCCGAGAGCCTCTGTCACCCACCCGCCTCTCTCAGCACCACCCTTAGTTTACTGTCCTCGCCCAGATACCCTTTCATCCCGCACAGATTTATTATTCTTCATCTGAAACTATAAAGGCATCCTGCTTTGGTCATTTATAGGACTTCACCTTTTTCTTCTTTTGTAAAGTTCTTTGAGACAGGATTTGCTATGTAGTTCATGCTGACCTTGCAGTCCCAATGATCCTCCTGACTCAGCCTCCAAAGCGTGGGATTACAGACACGCACCGCCACACCCACAGGACTCTGCTTCTAGAAAGATCCCTATGTATGTGTAAAATCAACACAACTTTTATGTGCTTCTCTTGCTAATCAGGTCTTAATTTTGTTCTGTGATCCAGCTGAAGCTCACATGAAGCTGAAGGGGTGGAGGGGGTGTCTCTGTTCCCTCCCGCAGGTGACCTGAAGAATTGAAAACAGACATTCAGAGACTTGCATGCAAAATGCATGGAATTATTCACTTTAAAATAATTATTTTATTTTAGTTTATTTTTGTGGGGTTTTTGAGGCAAAGTCTCACTAGGTAGCCCAGGCTCCCCTCAAACTCACAGCGATTCTCCTGCCTCAGCCTGTGGAGCTCTAGGTCTACAGGTGTGTACCACCACACTGGCATAAAATGGTAATTTTATGTTAGTGAACTTCACCTTACAAAGAAAGGTACAGCAGGGGAGCCGGGGATAAGCCAGACAAACTGAAAACTGGACTGGAGACCGGAAGAGCCTGGGGCCCTCTCAAGGTCGCTCCGCGTGACAGTCTATGGGAAGCGTAAAGCACCCTCTGTTTACTCTGGGATTTCTGACAGAAACAAAGTCAGGCCTCACACCTCAATTCATATTCTTAAATCAGGTAAACCACCCGATACATGGATCAAATGTTTGAGGAACTGGAAGAGCACTGGCCTTGGAGTCAGAGGCCCTGGATGAGCCCCCGCCACATCTGTCTTCCCTGCTCACTCCGTGCCGGGCTCCCACGGTTGGAGGAAATCCACACTGACCTGGAAGGTGAGCTGAAGTTAAGAGACGATGCATCACAGGTCCCCTGAAACACAGATGCTGAGCAGAGCTGGTGCCCACTGTGCCGTTATGAGCGAAGCCAGGCTCCGGCCCCGGGCCCCCTCTACCCAGTGAGTGCGTAACCTCCTGGACACACAGTGCTGCGGGAGCAGCAGAGCTGCCGTTTGTTTCTCTGGCAGCAGCTCTAAGCAAAGCTTGGCAGAGATGGTGAAATGAGTGGCTCAGGGGAAGGCTGAGGGCTTTGGGATGGATTGTGAGTCTCCTCCCGAGTACACGGCAGTTACCGCAGCTTCCAAGGCCTTGTTCCTGACTGGCAGTCGCATACTGAACAAGAAGTCCCTGGAAAATTCAGACCTGCTTTTTCCCCCATCCCTAGCTGGAGGGACATTGATTCTTTGCATCTCTGTGTATGAACAACTGCAAATGGAAAAAAAATTAATAAGCAACTTGTATTTGTTGTTGCCAGAGAGTTTCGGAGGGAGAGGGCTGTTCAGGATGCCAACCCGTCACTTCCCTTCAGCTAACCCTGACTATGAACCAAGGCCATGTGTCTCACAGGCCAATCCCAGCAAATGACAGCTGGGCAGGAACACTAAGACCATCCTACAAGTCAGCTCCCTCAACAAATGACTGGTTCCCAAGTCCCTGAGCCTGTAGAAACCTTTCCACATTGCACAGTCCCGGAAGGCTCTCCACCCTCGCTTCCTGCTCTGTCACATAGTCAGTCTGCATGGCATAGCCTCTGACAGCTCACAGCCTCTCCTCCCTCCAATTCTCACCTCTCACATGCCTACCCACTTCCCCGGGGCATCTACTTCCAGGAGCACCCAGCTCAGTGTGGTATCCACACAGAAGAAGGAGCTCAAAGATCTGTGGCAGCCTGAGTCTCCAAAGTTCCCCTGGGAAAGTCCTCCCAGACTGCACCCCTGAGTCTTCCAGAGCTCAAAGCCAAGGGCAGGCTGCTCCTCACTTCAGACCTCTCTGGACATCATGAAAACCACCTGATGGATGTGACAGTTGGGTTTTCTTCCCCTGCTACCCTTACTTGGTGTGGAGAATTTATGAAAAAGTAATAGAAGCCGTGGCTTGAGAGTTGCAGTCCAGCATTCCAAGGTGGGGGCTCTTTTTTCTCTCCCCAGGCAGTGCTCCAGCTTGGTCCCCAGAAAGGCGAGTACTTGATCTTTGCTGAATAAATAAAATGCACTTACATCATACATAGGTGGAACTATATTTAGGTCTTGATATTTCAGATCTGGATCCAAAAAGGAGTTGCTTTAAAAGTTCTCAAATATTGTGGCTTAATGTGTTTTGGGAAGTTTCCAAATAATGGCTTTTCAAAGGTAGGCTGAGGAGAGCTGGGTTTAATTTAGCGGAGTAAGCACCTACCTAGCAAGCACGAGGTCATGAGTTTGATCTCCAGTACCAAATGTAGGTGGGAGAAGAAAGACAAAGTCTTTCCCCTCTCCGAAAAAAAGTAAGTAACGAGTTATTTTTGTACATAAAGTGCAGATGGACGGGGCGGGGGGGGATGGAAGTTTGGGATCGGAGACAAGTAGCTGACCACGAAGCCAGCGTGAGCCCTGGGTGTACCCTTCCTCTGTGGCACTGCAGTCCGGGTTCCCGGGGCCTCCCGACAGGCTATAAGAACTAGTTCCTGTCCTCTCTCTGGACAGAGAGAGCTGCTCTGTACACAGGTAGCATTCTGCATGAAGCTGAGTCCGTCCTTAGTCCATGCTGAGCAGATTGACCACATTGGGTGGGCCCTGGAAGCCATTCCTGTGTCCATTACTCCATGTGGGTGCTGAGACAGCACCATGGACTGTACCTGGGACAGCCGCAGGTGCTGGAGATAAAAATTCCCCGCTGGGATGCACCTCAGTGGGGAAGCACTGTGTGCCAGCATGTGTGAAGCTCTCAGTTTGAGTCCAAGCACTGAAGGAAGAAAATCCTTTCCTTCAAAGAATTTTCAGTCTAGCAGAAACTTTCCTGAACTGTAGAAAGTCCGAGGATCTGCAGAAGGGAACAACTAAAAGAGAGTACTGCAGTCGCTTCCAATATAGCGACATTCCCTGGATGCCATGCCAAGGCCTGAGTCCAGGTGGAGGCCATGGAACAGTCCTGCGGTCCTGGGAAATGCACACGTGTGACCCTGCTCTGTTGTGAGCCACGGTGGGCAGCAGAAAATATTTCTACACCTGTCCACACGCCACATGGGAGGCTGGGGACATGTTTCCACGGCAGAGCACGTGCTTCACAGGTCCTTTGTGCAGTCCCTAGCAACACACACACACACACACACACACGCACACGCACACGCACACGCACACACACACACACACACACACGTGCCTGTAGGCTGGACAAGGTTTTCTGCATGCTTACTGTTTTTCAGAACTTTCCACTTGAAGAATGAAGTCATGAAGTCCTGGTAAGTGTCTGTTATGGAATAATAAGAGGAAAAGTTTGTATCAGCCAAATAGTGAATTAGGAATTTCTTCCTAATGTGCTTTGTATTCATCATTGTGACATTTATTACATGATCACAACATACAGTGAACGCTGCCACTGAGTATCATCCAGTGAAAAGGCAGGATGTCAGCACAGGGGCAGTGCGTGGGACCCCAGCAAGGACAGGTGGCAAGTTTCAGCTGACCCTGTCCAGCATGGTCAGTCAGTGTGAGCTGTGTTGGGAAAGGCGTACTTTAAAGTGTGCTGTACATCACCGACCACGAACAATGCACTGACATGAAATCATGTCAGTTTCACTGCGGGCATGAGGTCAGGCTACTTCAGACTTCAGCATTTTAAGAAATGTCATCAAGGGAGATAAAACTTGGGTCTAGAGTTTTTTATGATCTTGAGACCAAGGATCAGAGACCTCAGTGGAAATCAGTCGGTTCTCCTCAGGTGAGAAAAGCCCAGCAAGTACGATCCAACATCAAGGTCACAGTGTTTGTGTTTTTTGACCTTGACGGAATTATACAAGCTGAGTTTGTGCCCTGGAGCACCACAGTGAACTTTGAATACTATCACAGGGCTTATCAGAGCATTTAAGAAATCATGTACATAGAACCTTGTCTTAGAAATAGGCAAATGGTTTCATCCTCCAACGTCCCATGCTTCTGGCCACACATCACTTCTGGGAGGGCAGTGCCTGTCAGGTGAGAACGTCACACGGCCCTCATCTACTTTCTTTACTGGACCTAGCACTGTGCAACCTCCAGCACTTTCACAAAGTCAAAATGACCATGAAAAGTGAGCACTTGGAGTTGATTCAGGACATCAAGGCAGCCACAGCGAGCACAATAAAGACACCCAGGAAAGAGGACCTCCAGAACCGCCTCTGAACGCAGGGAGAATGGCAGCACACGCATGCCTAAAGCAAGGTGAGCGTTTGGAGAGGCATGAGTGGCAATGCATTTTTAGTGTAATAATTTTTTAAACTTAAACATCCACTGTAGTTTGGATCACTCATCGATGTGAACTACAACCTCAGGAGCTTTGTGCAAGCCACCACACTTACACAAGCTACCTAGTTTTGCATAACAAGAAACTCAGAGGCTTGAAACAATGATCATATGCTTTTCTCCTGCCTGATATGTGGGCATCTGCTCCCC